TGTAAAAAGTGACACCCAAGCACATAAACCTCCCACATATACACACTTTTGGTTAAAATTTATTTATTTTGTTATCAGCACAATCTACTTGTCATGAGAGACAAGTAGATTGGGACACAGATTTAGTCCCTGGACAAGTAGTTTTTTTCAATAATTTCCACACCCCTGTGACAGGTGATTAAAAAAAAACAAAAACATGTTGCTACTAAATGTCTTGTGCTGGCCATACACGGATCGATATCCGTATGAGAATATTTGTACAAAAATTCTTTGTACATTCAGTGAATGGATGAATGTCATTGGAACCTTTCACTTGCTTTTAACATTCAATTTTAAAATGAATGTCATTTCTGAATGAAAGCAACATTTACTGCCTGAAAATTTGTTCGAGAATTTTTCTATTCTGCGCCTTCAAATTTTCTCATTGCTGAGGTCAAAAAACAAAATTGATTTGACCCCACTAATGATTAGAAAATCGAACAAACATTCTTAAAATGAACATTTTCAAAGGAAAATGTTATCTGCGTATGGCCAGCCTAAATGACAGCAAGTGCCCTTGGCTTGTGTCAAGCTACCTGCCTATGACAATGGAGTCTGTTATGCATAATATTCTATTACAAATCTTGTATGAAAATCTGCAAAACAGTGTTTTAGGCCTTTACATATTTTTTTCCTTTTTCTTTTAATAAACATTTTGATCTCTGAGTCTGATATGTACCAGATTCAACCTCTAATAGTATGTATATACTGCATCTTTTCTGTCTTTTTCTATTAGATATTTAGTTCCCTAACCATATAGCTGGTTATATAACTACTTCAAGTCCGAACACTTTCAACCCCTTCCTGTCCAGGCCAGTTTTTAGCTTTCAGCGCTGTCACACTTTGAATGACAATTGTGCAGTCATGCAACACTACCCATGTAAATTTTTTAGCATTTTTTTTGAGACAGATAAAACTTTTATTTTTGGTGGTATTTATCTACCTCTGGGATTTTAATTTTTGTTGCTATATAAATGAAAAAGTCCAAACATTTTGAAAAAAAAAAAATGTTTTTCTTATAAAATTTTTCAAATAAAAAAATCTTTCTTCATAAATCTTGGCCAAAATGTATTCAGCTATCTGTTTAGTAAAAAAAAAAAAAAAAAACAAAAAAAACAAATTGGTTTAACTAAAAATTATAATTTTTTAAAAATTGTGTTTTTACATTTTTTTATTTTTTTTTTTTTTTTACATACTGTCACCCTAGCAGTACAGCATCACCATAGTGACACTGTACTACTTGTGGGGGTAATGAAGATTTTTTTTTTTCTTCTTTTTTTACACTGATTGCTTTTACACCCATAAAGGCTGTAAAAGCAATAATTTCTCCTCTCTGGCTGCATTCCTGCAGCCATTGAGAAATAATGTGAGAGCTGTGATTGGTCACAGCTTGTCACATGGTACAAGGCTGTTGTGAATAGCATTGTACCATGTGACCTCTGTGATCATTCACAGATTTTACAAGTAAGCAATGATATCGGAAGTGACATCTTGCTTACTACTCTGCACGTGATCACTGATTGGCCAATCAGTGATCACATGATCAGGACCTCGCACAGAGGTCCCGTACAGCGATCGGTGATCGCTGTGCATTGGATCATGGTGCTGTGTGCTCCCAGGGAGCGCGCACAGGCAGTGAATGAGGGGGGCCGTTTATGAACGGCTACCCACTCCAGCACTGCTCCCGTTTTGGCACATATACATAAACGGACCACATAAAAGTGGTTAAATTTACCACTGCATATAGATAATCAAGTAAAAATTTGTCTTACAAAAAAAAAAAAAAAAAAAAAAAAAAACTTTCCATATTAAGTCCTGCCTCCTGTCTCCCTGACCACACGTGTAGCATGTCTACAGCCTCGAATTCCTCTAATATCTCTGCCGTCTCCTGTAGCATTTTATATACGGAATATTACGAGCAGCTCCTTGGTGATGTCACGCCGTGCAGCTGAGGCACCGTTCTACCTGCTACATCCACCATAATTGCTGTATGTCCTCCTGGAGGTTGCTGCTCTCCATGTTTGTGTTTGCTGTGTAAGACTTAAGTCCTCATTCTCACGGGACACCCATGGAGGGCCATGTTTACCCGCGTGGGGATGCTGTGTTCTGTGCAGGCAGTCCTAATGATGTTGATTGGGACAAAGTGGATGCAAGACACAGCCACTACTCCTAATTTGACATCCATTTGGGTGCAGGCGTGTGTCCCCAAATGCACACATACACCTGCACCCACATGGGTGTCAAATTAGGAGAAGCAGCTGTGTCAGCTGCCGTGTCTCAGCAGACATGAATGGAACTGCCTGCTCAGGGATTATTGGAACACCCGTGCATCCCTGCACAGGTAAGTAAGCACAGCACATGGACGTATGCTTTTGTATGCCCTGTGTAAATAAGGCCTACGCCTTAAGCTGGCCTTACACATTAAGCCTTGGGTTCACATTGAATATGTCGTTGAAATCGTGCAACTTCACTTTAAGTCACACGATTTTAAAGTCGCATTTCAGTGTGACTTCAGGTGAAACTTTTAAGACGTCTGTGCGACTTCATTCACAGATGTCTATGCAAGTTGCACCCGAAATTGCCAAAAGTAGTGCAGGAACTACTTTTCAAATCGCTGTGACGCCTACGAAGATGAAGTTGCCCCTATTACAATGGTTCCATTGCTGATCATTGGGTGCGACTTGTCATGTGATTTGAACTGGCAAATCGCATGACAAGTCGCATCGGTGTGAACGGGGGCTCACACCGATGAAAACATGGATGGAGGAATCTGTACTGCTAACAACTGTAGTTTGACAGCCTCAGCTGCCATAATTTCCAGAAAATGCTTTCATCCGGTTAGATTCAGGTGCTAATTGACTGAGAATTTTCCGTTCGGCTCCTTTGACAATAGTTGACTTTGATATAGTGGGTGTTGCCAACAGAACCACCTGTGGAACAAATTTTGGCCTGTTCAGTAGGAATTGTCTTAATTTCGATCTGTCTGTGGCCCGCTTTAGACGCAGGTCACACTTAGGGCTCATGTACACTGCAGCTGATAAACTCACATTTTAGGAGCTGTTCAGCGTTTTTTTTCAGCAGCCCCTGAACTCACCCTAATGTTTTCCTATGTGTCCATGTACACATCTTCATTTACAGGCATTTGAGTTTACAGTCGTTTTTTTTTTAATGCAGAAAACTTGCGTTCAGCAGTCGATTTTATCAGGGTTTCAAACGCAAAACTCTTGTAAATGCGGTAAATCGCATTTATAAGCATTTGCGTTTGAAATTTTTTTTTAACTCTTCCAGTTCCCAATGCTGTCCAGAGACTTTTTTCATCATGAAAAATGCATGCAAAGCGTTTTCAAGGTACTCAGATGGACAAAACACTGAACACAGGATGTCCTGTGACCAATTCACACCTCAGACCTCTCCCACCCTTGGAAAAAAAAGATATGTTAATGACCATTCACACCTCAAATTCCTCATGAAGAGCCCCTGCCAGGTGACCTTAATGACTGACACCACCAGACACCTTTCCCACCCTTAGAAACAAAAGAAATCATAATGAGCAACTCACACCTAAGCTAATGTCAACACATACTGCTGTCTCTGATTCTACTCTCCGTATTTCTCTAAAACAGTCTGAAATAGTTAATAATTTACCACTTTTCAGTGCATTCGGGACATTTGGGAGGTTCTCCTGTGCTTATCTATAAAAAACGCACATAAATGCGTTATGCAAACATGGCTAAACAGACGTTTTTTAACCTACGTTTTCCAGCAGTCAGTTTCCATTGTTCAGAAGTATCCCGTGTACATGGGGCCTTATGATCCTTTTGAAGCCAAAAAACTCTCCACTAACAGATCTGTTGCAGGGTAGAGGAATGTTCAGCTGTCTTTAGGGTGTTACTCTCTCACTGTCCGCATGAGCGTGGCATCACTGAATTGCTGCCGAGTGACATTTTTGCAGCATTTCCATTAGCAAGGGAGTGTTGCCTTGCACATCCATCCAGGGAGGGAGCAACATCATGGAAGTTGGTAAGTATTTCTCTACACCTTTGGCCAATCCCATCACTAGAGATTTACATGACATCATCGGGCAATATAAGATTGCTCTATGGCTTTTATTTATTTATTTTTTTAAAAAGGCTGCCAATAGCAATGGCTTAGTTTTTTAAGAAATCTGGTAGATTTCAGCTTGTAATTAGATATTATGTTCTGACCAGTTTTGACCTTCAGGAGTACATATTATTGCTAGCAGAGCTCTTCATTACTGATATGGTGGCCTCTCTCCACACTTCGCTCAGTTGTAAACACAGTAGCACATTTCAGAAAAGTTTCCATTGTGGATATAATTTGTTACGTGCATGCAGTTTGCCTTCACCACAGAGATGTATGGGACGCTGTACTGCACGTTGTTGTGTCCTTTGTTAAAGCTGAACTTCAGGTAAACAAAATCAAAAACTTTCATTTTATAGATATTCCTCAATAATCAGAAATGAATTAAATCTACTCTTTGTGCACCAAATGTCTTTGTAAACACAGATATTACCTTGTACAATAGCCAGCGCAGGGAGCAGTTCTGTAGAAGGGGCGCACCTACTACAGGCTGCCTGCAGAAAACTACAGGAGGAGGCGGAGACAAGACCACTCACTCTGCACAAGGAGAGAGAGCAGCAATGATTGGTCTTTTTCTCAGGGAGCTCCTGCACAGGGAGAATGTTACAAACTGGATGACTGCATGGATCTGGAAGATATACACAAAGCACACCCAAGATCCAAGGAAAAATGCATGTGACTCTCATATTAAGACAATTTTTGCTTATCCTGGAGTTCCATGTTAAGCTCTTATTTGTGTATGAGTATCACCTGTGGGAAAGGTTTATTGTACATGAGTGCTAAGTTAGGTGAATTTTACATATTCAAGAGAGAAAGGTCACTGAGAATTACCTCCTTGTTCTTCCTTCTCTCCTCGACAGATAAAGGTCCTGTATCCTTGTCGTGGTCACGTGGAAATTGACCCTGACGTATTGTGGGAGCAGTTTGTGAATGTGGTAAAGGGGCCGTGAAAGGTAATCTCCTGTAGGGATTTGACATTTGAAGTCAATATTGACTAGTCTGACGTGTAATGCTTGTTCGCAGATGCCGGAATTCACATAAATCAGGTAGCTGGACTTGGAATTTCCACGCAGAGGGCCACCTTCATTACCTGGGATAAGTAAGCGAGAATAAGTGTTTAATTGTTTGGGTAGAATAGAGCATGATGGAGCAATGTTAAGTCGGCTTGTTCACCTCACATGATGCAAATTTTTATTTTGCCCCCTCATAGGATTCCAAGCAAATTTGTTCATTTTCTTCCCCCTATGGTACTTTTGTCTCCATCTGTGAGAAGAGGAAATACATGTGACTTATTAAACCCTTATCTGACTTTGCAGATCCTGGTTCCCAGACATGGCGACCTTGCAGGTTCTGCTTCTTGAAACATAGGAGTGTCCATATGCTGTTGCACAGACTGGCCAAAGGCAATAGCCAGTTTTGTGTTCTTCATGAAATTGATACAATGCCATATCTGTTGCAATAAACACATAAAATCTCAGTTAGGCTGGCTATACACTAGTATAGTATTGTTTTAAGAAATTTAGATTTTCTTTTTTTGTGTTTTAACCACAGTGACAAGAAAATTCAAATCAGTGGTGTGTTTTTCATTTGGGAGTCCATTTACTCCAAAATTGTGTGTTGAACACAAAATAAACTTAAAAGCAATTTTGAACGACATTTGTCCAGTCATTAACCACTTGCCGCCCGGCCTACAGTCAAATGACGGCCGTGTGAACACCTTGCCCCTCTGGGAGAGTGTCATATGACGTCCTTCCCGGATCGCGACTTGTGCGTTCCCGCAGGGCCGCGCTGTGGCGAGATCTGTCACCGGCTGTGTACTTCGGACATGGCCGATGACCGATCTGTGTACCGGCCCTGTTGCCAGTATCATGTGACCTGCTGTGACTAATCACAGCAGGTCACATGACCATGTTATATAATTGCCATCAATTGTATACAAGTGTGTCTAGCTGTGAATAGTCACAGCGATCACATGCACAGGCTGGGCCAATCACAGCCCATCTGTGTCATGTGATTAGCCATGGCCAATTACAGCTAATCACAACAAAAAAACCTGAATGAATCAATTTCATTCTGTTAAATGCTTGCTTATAGCAAATAAATTCTTTACTATAAGCAAACAAATTTTATATAAAAAAAAAAGCTGATCTCTTCCCCAAAGTAGTACAATGTTACTATGGTAACATTATACTACTTTGGTCATAGTGTAATATGAAAACAAAATCTTAAAAAAAGAGAAAAATTTTTTTTTCAGTTTTATGATGATGCTGTACTGCACTGGTGGCAGTATGTAAAGAAAAAAAAAATTTGTGAAAATAATATATTTTGATCTCTTAATTTTCCGAAAAATTATGGCAAAAAAATTACAACTTCAAAAAACTTTCCATGCCTCTTATGAAGTATGTCGGACTGTCTACTTTGCAAAAAGGGGTCATTTGGAGGATATCTGTACTGTTCTGACATTTTTGGGCCTCAAGAAATTAGATTGGCTGTCAGTACTTCAGGATTGATCAATTTTCAGATATATCCCATAGTTTGTGAACTCTAGAACTTTCTTACAAACTAAATAATAAATACTGATTTGGGTTTTTTTCACCAAAGAAATGTAGCAGAATACATCTTGGCCTAAATTTATGAAGAACAATTATTTATTTGCAAACTTTCATAACAGAAACAAAAAAAACTTTTTTTTTTTTTTTTTTTTTAAATTTTCGGTCTTTTTATATTTTGCAAAAAATAAAAACCCCAGTGGTGATTAAATACTACCAAAAGAAAGCTCTATTTGTGTGAACAAAATGATAAAAGCTTAGTTTAGGTACAGTGTTGCATGACTGCGCAATTGTCATGTGTGAGAGCGCTGAAAATTGGCATGGGCAGGAAGGGGGTAAAAGTGCCCGGTATTGAAGTGGTTATATGTACAAAGACATTGAATATTCATTTGAAAATCTTGTAGTGTATAGTGATCTTTATCTATGAATCGAAGAGAAAGCTTGTCCTGAAACATTTGCTGCCAACTAATGAGTTGATCCACTTCATACCTAGAGTTAGATATGTAAAGTAACTGTCCATAAATTCATTAGGGTAAAGCATACCTCAACTGACATAGGAACAGCATGACCAGACCCTGGCTGCTTTCACTTCTACCCTCTGAGTAAGGATAATCCTTTACATTCATACAGATATATTAGCTACAGGTAACGTTTACCTATGTCACATCTGTTTGCAATATCAGTGTAAGGGCTCATGTACACTGCAGCTGATAAAGTCACATTTAGGAGCTGTTCAGCGTTTTTTTTCAGCAGCCCCTGAACTCACCCTAATGTTTCCCTATCTTCATTTACAGTTGTTTACAGGCATTGAGTTTACAGTCGTTTTTTTGAACGCAGAAAATTTTAGTTCAGCATTGAATTTCATCAGCGTTTCACACGCAAAATGCGGCAAATCGCATTTATTAGCAAATTGTGGTTAAAAATTTTTTTTTTTTTAACTCTTCCAGCTCCCAATGCTGTTGAGCCTTTTTTTCTTCATAAAAAATGCATGCAAAGCGTTTTCAAGGTGCTTAAATGGAGAAAACACTGTACAGAGGATGTTCCTACCAAGCTTGTCACACATTGTAATGACCAATTCACACCTCAGACCTCTCCCACCCTTGGAAACAAAAGATATGTTAATGACCATTCACACCTCAAATTCCTCACGAAGACCCCCTGCCAGGTGGCCTTAATGACTCACTCCACCAGACACCTTTCCCATCCTTGGAAACAAAAGAAATTGTTAATGAGCAACTCACACCTAATTATCTCAACACATACTGCTGTGTCTGCTTCTACTCTCTGTATTTCTCTGAAACAGTCTGAAATGGTTAATAATTTACCACTTTTCAGTGCATTCTGGGCATTTGGGAGGTTCTCCTGTGCTTATCTTTAAAAAATGCTTCTAAATACAAACGCACATAAACGCATTATGCAAATGCAGCTAAACAGCCGTTTTTTGCCTACATTTTCCATCAGTTGGTTTTCATCGTTCAGAAGTGTCCCGTGTACATGGGGCCTAAAAATGTTTAATCCAACACATTCAGGACCAGTTCACACCAGAATCACAAGGCAGCGCTCTCCATGTTACTGGGCACTCCCCTCCAATGCAATTTTGGCAGTCCATTCATTTGAATGGGCTGCAAATCGCACCTCACTGCACAAAAAGTAGTGCATGTGCTTCTTTTGAAAAAGGCATCGCAATCAGAGAACATCATACTACGGCACCATGTGATCTGGTGCCTGCAAATGCACTGCGTTCACGATCTGCAGTTGGGGTGCCATTAACAATGCATTGGCACCAGCAGTAGATTGCAATGGCAATAGGCAGTGAATGCATTTTGAACACGGTGTAGGAAACGCTCATGGAACACGCCTTTCCTGCAATAAGTTCTAAATTATGATGTCTCTGGACATTTATATTCATTATTGCAACAAGATATAAAAAAAAAAAAAATCACAATGTATCTTTTTTAACAGGAAGACCGGAAAACCTTTCCATAATTTTATCAGCTGGCAAGACTTACGGGCAGCTGAACTGGTTTGTTCCTGGAACAACTCCCTGCTATTAAAGGTAATATTTTGTACTTGAACACTGCAAAATCGTATTCTGTACTTAAAGTTATAAAGGTTTCCTGCTGGGCTGCTTTCATTGCCCATAAGGCTTGTGGTGTGGGAGTAAAATTAAACTTCAGCATTGGTGTCATTGGAAGCAATAATAAACCTCAGCACTGACGGAAGTGGCCACAGTGGCAGCCACCATGTTTCTTGCAGGAAACATTTACTTGAATCGGTTACACTTGTGGATTATGTCGGTGTCAGTGAACTGTTTATTAAGAAGCAGTGCAGAGGTGTCATTAGTAGATCTGTAAAACCAGTTATTCTGCCTGTGCTTCCTTCATTTCATTTTATGCAGTGGAATGTAATTTATCTCACCTTGCTGTCAAATCAGTATATGCAATAATGCAAAGCACAAAGTGTAGTAACACACAGCAACCTTTCAAAACTAAAATGTGATTGATTGCCTTATGCTACTGCACTTTACAAGTAACCATTACTCATTCTACACTATTTTATTGAGAAAAAAGACAAGGCCATATTCTAATCTGCAAGCTCTGCAAGTTCTAGAACAAATAGGGAAACATTATTCTGTGCTGATATAATTCAAATGCAAGTAAATCTATAGGCTTGTCAAATAAGGCAAATGGCAAAGTACATTAGCTCACAACAATAAATCTGGCCATACATTATACGTTTTTATTGTATAATTTATGTACAATCTTCTTTATATTTACCTTCAACTATGTCAGGCAGGGGCCTGCCTGATTAGATAGAAATTGAAACTATATTGTTCAGATTTCATCTCATATTATATAGTTTTTGTTAAATGCAAAGGAAAATTGTACAACAAGGTTGTCTAATGTGTGGCTAGTATTGGTGTTCAGTGTTTACTTGCCTGAACACACCCTCCTGTTCCAAGCTGGGACTATAGTTCAGCTGCCTGGTGGAATTTACCTGAAAGTTCCAGTTTCTTTATGTCCTGGATGCTAAAGTACAGAAAGCGGAGAGTATTCCAGCAAATCACTGCCACTCTACATATTGTTGGCAGCTGCACCAGAGCAGCCATTAAGTGATGGGGCAAGGTCATCCAGTGTCCAAGGTGAAAATGCCAAACTGTGTCCCCCTCCGATGTGTGCACCACTTCCTCTTCTGCAGTTGAGGTTCCACTACAAAGCTGCCACCACGCTTGTCTCAGCACAGCTGCAGGTCCACCAATTAAGTTTCACTTGGACCCAGAATCTACCAATGCAACAAACATTAGAGACACCAGGTAAGGTTTACTAGGATCAAAACTTTGTAAATGGCATTAAAGGGAATGTGTCAGGAGAGATATATGGAAGCTGTCATTACTTGTTTTTACAAGTGAATGCTCCAAGGATGTTGTTGTTGCTGTTATTATACAGGATTTATATAGCTCCAACAGTTTGCTCAGCGCTTTACAATATAACGGGAGACAATACAGGAACGATACAGTTCAAATCAAGAGGGTTAGGAGGGCCCTGCTCCTTGGAACTTACAATCTAGGAGAGACGGGCTAGTGGTACAAAAGGTAATAACTGTGGGGGATAGACTGGTAGGAGGAATAGAAGATTCCATTATTAGCTGAAGGCAGGATAGGCTTCCCTGAAGAGAGAGAGGTTTTCAGAGATCGCCTAAAAGTGAGCAGAGTAGGCGATAGTCTGATTGATTGGGGTAGAGAGTTCCAGAGGATGGAGGAGGCTCTGGAGACGAGCATGGGAGGAGTAGACAAGGGATCTAGAGAGTAGGAGGTCGTGCGAGGAGCGAACGGTTTGGGTGATATTTGGAGACAAGATTGGTGATGTAATTTGGGGCAGAGTTATAAATGGCTTTATATGTTATTAATGTTTTGAATTTTATCCGTTGGGCAATGGGAAGCCAGTGCAGGGATTGGCAGAGAGGGATGGCAGATACGGAACGGTTAGTAAGGTGGATGAGTCTGGCAGCAGCATTCATGATAGAATGAAGAGGGGATAGCCTGCGATGAGGTTGGCCAGTGAGGAGGGAGTTACAATAGTCAAGGGTCAAGGCGAGAGATGACCAGGGAGTGAATAAGTTGCTTAGTAGTTTCAGAGGTTATCCTTATGTCTTCTCTACTTGGGAAGCCCAGTAACAAAGAACAAGTATATTCTTATATGATATATACATACTGGCCACAAACCTTCTGTAAATTCTTCTTTATAATAGGTCCCATAAAAAAAAAAATTTGGCTGCCCAAGATGTCTGTTTTTGCCTGTGTGCTGTCCAAGCATGGAAGCCATCAACCCTTTAGTCTGAACAAGCATATGCATGATTGTATAGCAGTTGTGCAGACACCTAAAGTCTTTTCAAAATTGTATGTACTTGCATATGCATCTACTGTGGTATGGCACTCTTTTCTTTACCACCAGGTAGAGATATCATGATGTTAGGCAACCACAATTATTGACTTTCACTATATTGACAGCTCTACTCACCCAGTATGTATGGAACTCAGTTCTTCTCGTTTTCCTCTCTGACCTTGCATGTGACATCATCACGCAGCTAGTGCACTGTTGACAGTACAGTAAGGGTCTGCTAAGAGACTCCTTACTTCCAAATTAAGCAGAATCCTGTTCAGTGTGACACCCCAGATTGAAAGCAGCAGCTTCCTAACTACCTTCCCCCAGGTATACCACTGCCATTAGGGACATACCCCTCAAAACCGGGACAGTCCCCAGAAAACCGGGATGCATTGTACCTTCTCCTTATGGTTTTATGTGCCCCCATACTATGTACTGTCACTTAGGCCTACTAGTGACAGGCTTAGCTGTCAGACATCTTTTCAGAAGATCAGTGTAATGACATACTTCAGGACCAGTAAATAAAATAGCTTGTTTGCAGCTCTGATAAAGTTTGCCAAAGCAATGGCTGGACCTATCAGTAACATTCACACATTACATGACTCCGTAAGACACATGCTTGTGTTACATAATGAAATCATTATATGAGGAGTTTAGGGAGACTGTAAGGGCCCTTTCACACCGATCAGTTTTTGATGCGCTTTTGGTGCTTAGAGGAGAAGTACATCCAAATCTCTTTTGGCTGTACTTCTCTTGTGGATCACAGAAGTGCATTTCGTTCGACCTGTTTTCATATGACAGAGAGTTGGAGCCAGCTACATCGCTCAGCCTGTCCAGACTGGAGAAAGATCCTGAAGTGACACCCGGCTCAACCTCTCAGCAAGCCTCTGAAATCCTGAGCCAGCCGCTCCCTCTCCCTCTACAGCCCAGCACCCCAGTGAGCGCTGGGAGGGCAGAGCAGACAGTGGTGACTGGCAGTCACCGCTCTCTGCTCAGAGTGCCTGTGAGAGCTCAGCGTTCATGTGATAACTGGGGAGGAGGAGTCCACACTTCTCTTTAAAAAGCGGAACAAATTTGCATGATAAATGTATATCTTTAAATGCTATGGAACTCTTCATACAATGCAATGTGGGTGGGGTACATTTTTTTTAAAGCCTGCATGCTTCATTTTTGGAGCATGTTTTATAAGTGCACCAAAAAAAAACACACCTCTCCATTGAAATGAATGGAAAACGCATCAAAAATGCATTGTAGTCATGTTCTTGATGCACTTTTAGTCCCATATCCATGTTTCACAGATGCATGATTGGCGTCGGGCAACCAGAAAACACATAAATGCATATGCATTTTTTGTAATGTATTTTTTTCAGTGAAGCAGTGTGAAAGGGCCCTGCATTTGTAGTATGCAGAATTCAATCTCTGCTGGCCTGCAGTGCTCATGAGCCACAAAGTGACAAGCGATTTGACTTATCTGACTTGTCCTGCCTAATATCTGTTCCACATTGTGAAAACCTGTGTATCCTGACCAGATGTACCCACCCTACTGCAGGACCCTACACCTACATCCAACTTAGATTCTGCCCAAAGTGTGTATGGCCAAATTTGTTAAAAAAAAAATGGACCATGCCAATTATGAAATGCTTCTGGTGCTAAAATTGCTTGATCCTAAGGTATTTCAGGGGGAAAAATCTGTTATCTCCTTTTCTAGTTCCCTTAGATATATGTGAAAGAGATCAACATAATTTTACTAATTTTATAATGTAATTTTGGAATAGCCTGGTCTCAATGTATAGTTTGCGTTTTTGTGTACCTCCTGGGGGCAGCCTTTTTGGCTTGCTTCATGTTAAATTAAAACCATGGACTCTTCAGTAATGATTCATAGCCTTGGCTTAGTGAGTTGGTGAATCATTATTCAGCTTCAAACTAAAAAAAAAAAAAAAAAAAAAAAAAAAAAAAAAAAAAAAGGACCAGCACCCTGGCAACCACAAGCAGAAGTACAATAATTCCCAAGATTTATCAGAGAGGAAATGCATCCTTTTATAAAGTGACAAATTATCATGCCGTAAAAAATTTAATTTTATTCAGCAGGGAATTATGGAAATTACAACAGTATATGATACATAGAAACTTGTCCATATCAATGCTCTATCCACATGGAGCACCACACGTGCAACTTCTTTTCCCACCAAAAAATAATTGTTCAAACACACACATATACCCCAATAAAAGATTAACGTTTCTTACTGGAAATGATATACATTCTGTTTCTATTCTGTTAAGCACTCAGTCCACCCAAATGTGATGGTCTACATAGCGATTGCATAATGTTGTTGCAAATTCTGTAACTCATACATTTCACTTACTACCTGCTTTCCATTTGATAAGGAGGTACATAGTATAATCACCTGATACGTCCCAGTGTTATAAGAGAGAAAAACTGCTAGGGTACTGTGTCAATCACAAGGCCCACTGGCCAAGTCCAGCCTGCAAGAGCCCGTGTGGCCCTCACTCTTCTACCACAACTGCAGCATCCCCCCTTCATCCCTACCCCCACCTTGTCTCAGCAGTTGGCAGCAGAGAGTAGAACAGAACTCCTCCGTCTCTGTCCCCTCCACGATATGAGCAGTAGGTAGAGGACATAGCTCCTCCAACAGATCTTGTGACTCTCTGTGCAGCTGCAGCATTCCCTGGTCTCTGCCTCCCCTGGTCCCAACATTCAGCAGACTCTGGCACCTGACTGCAGCCCTCCTCTGGACCTCCTCTAGACCCTGCACTTTCTGCTTCCCAGCTCCAACCCCATCTTCTTCCAGGCAGAAGCACAAAGTAAGTGCACTATGATGTAAGGTAGGGTGGGGGTCTCTTGACTTCTGATGGTGGTGGGAGGCTCTTGACACCAGATGTAAGGGTTTCTCTGGACATCTAGTCTTACAGATACAACTGGCTTTTGGAGGACAACCATAATGCTGATTTGGCCCATGATGAAATTGAGTTTGACACCACTGTGCTAGGGAAAACTGTAAGCCGATTAAATGAGCATGACATAATAAAGCACCATTTTTTTTTTAGAAAATAACTGGAGGCAAACTGGTATTGTCCAGCTGTTATCTGTGTCTTTCTTGTACTCTGATGGTGAACATCTGAGCCTCCTGAATACCCAGACTTTTATGTAGTATAAGAAAGTCTGATTCTTTTGATTTTTAGACTTTTAATTTATTTTATACAATAAAGAATGCAACAGGAACAAAAATACAAGTAGGGCATCAAAGGTCTATAAAATGCCAGTTGTTGCTGAGCTAAAAGAATCTTCTAGAGCAAGTGTGCTCAGCCTGTGGCCCATGGAGCCTTCTAATGTGGCCCTCAACCTCAAACCAGAAAATTGCACTTCTATGATATCCTGCTTCTGTTTTGGTGCACTTTCAGAAAGGGCACCAAACCCGCAAGATATAACAGAAGTCTATGGCAAAGAGCAGCTTTCCCACAGGAAAGCTGCAGGTGCACTGCGTTGCATCCATGGCCTGGGTAAACCGCAGCACATCAGTGGGAAAGCATCCTTATGAGGGGCTCAGGATAGTAAGGGCTCATTTACATTTGCGGTTTCAGGGTGGCAAAACCCCATAGTTGTGATGTGTTTTACCACACACACCCAACCACTGGTGTAGCATCAGGGATCACAATGGTGACCCTGCCCCATGCTCCAGGGGGCCCTGTGTAGCCTCCCTGTCAGATTGTTTCACTCTTGGACCGGAGGGACGGCATATACAGGAACCAATCCTCTCCATTTTTATCCTGGAACCGCTGAATGCCGGCTTCTCCTCTCTCTCCCTCAGGCCTTCAGCAGCTACAGGAGGAAAATGTTCTTTGTGCTATTCAAAAAGTTTTGAAATTCTGAATCATTTCATTGTAGCCCACAACTGGTTACCAAATCACTTAAGTGGCCTGTGCTCTTCAAAAGCTTGATCATTCCTGTTCTAGAAGGTCCAACACTCCACCAATAACTGCATTATCATGCTGGACAAATTGATGCTCTTAAGGGTCATAATCACAGAGATCACTGTGTACCCTCTGCAATATGACATGTACTCGCATTTAGCTATTAAAGCATAGGGCTTGTTAAAATGTTACCACATTTGCAGATTAATAGAGATTGTCATTACAAGGCTGGTCCAGGATATTTGCCAAGTGGCCTTTGCCTATCACTTCTCATATGATAGTACTTTAGGAATGACCTGAGTGGCTGACATGTACTGACACCTGCAATAACAGTACAGAGATGCTGGTAATATGCTCCAGGGGATGCTAAATGCAGGCCTGAGGCCTCTCTAGATTTAGGTGCTTTAAATGTATTTGTTGGTGAACCGCCATGTCTATGCCATCTATAATGCTGAGATTACCATTTGTAGCAGTATCTGTATCCTTTTGTTCCACCTAGTTAACTGTGGCACCTTTTATAGAGGATCGGTCCATGTATGACTATACCTCTCCCAGTATAGTCCCTGTTCCCCTAGGTGTCTACTTCTTAATGTTTTGCACACTCCTCCATTAAAAAGGAGTTTCAGGGCTCTGGTTCGGATCTCTTCATGACTTCTCTGGCAGTTGTAATCTGTCCCTAGATTGTTCATAGCTTCACAATGAAAATATCCTAATTTTTCCAGCCCATGAGTATTTAACTTCCCTGGCAGTATGATTATTTCAGATTTTTGGTGCTGAAAACGGTACCATTATTTTGCATGGAAATATGTAGATTTTTTTTGCAGGCCTGTAATTTTTAGGAATAACTCACTGAAATCTGTCCGAACAATAGTAAACATCACTGATAGAATAAAACTTGAAACACGAAATCATAAATTATTATATATTATTTAATAAATAATCATATAAAATAATATAATAATACATTTAATTCAATAATATAATCAAACCAAAAACACCGAAATTTTAAATATAGCGCCAAGTTCGCACATCGCTGAGCAAAGTCGCAAAATTGTTTTCAGTGTCTGATGACGAATTTCCCCACAAATCATCACTCAATTCTGCAAGTGGTTCTGATTTACTATCGCTGTTCTCTAGGTGGTCTAAAACCGCTTTTGACCTAAAAGGATGCTTTTTGTACGCCATGGACTTTTCTAAGTTTCCAGACAGAAAGAACAGTCAAAATGCAGGCAGGGCACAGGACAAAGCACTAGGGACAAAATGTATGTGAAATGCTTTAAAACAGCAATGTTTTGCTATGTAATATTCATTTACAAAAAAATGACAGTTTTTTTAAAATGTTTAAATTTGCCGCCGGTTCCGGCCCTCGTACGTCCCGACGACACAGGGACCGGATGCCGGAATCGGCCGGAGGAGATGGCCGTGGACGCTGCAGGAGGGACATCGCAGGAGCGAAGGACAAGGTAAGCGCTGCAGGGACTCCCTGAGCAATGCCGCATGGTAAGCCCGAGTGTAGCTCAGGGATACCGCTTTTGGTACTGAAATTTCACCCCGAGTTACACTCGGGAATACCGCCAGGGAGGTTAGACGATGGGCCATTATAACCACATAAAGACTTATAATTCACACATGGGGTGAATTGTCATGCATTTCTCTGCCTATTCTAGAGCAGACAAGAATGCAAAGACATGAGAAAAATCTGTTATTTTAGTGGGAAGTATTGTGTTGCTGCATGCCTAGTTTTGGATGCATGAATATTTTATCATTTATTTTAAACAGTAGAGAGTAAACTATCAGGAACTCAACAAGTGGGTATTTGTACAACCCATGTTCCATTCTTTAAACATTGCCCTTTTAAACTGATAGCTACTTGCTGAGTTAGACAACTCTCACACTACTCTGCAGCAAAAATTTGGTAAAAGCGCATTTTTGCCGCATTTTAGATACGTTTCTGGTTGCCTGCACCTGTGAAAAATGGACATGTGACTCAAAAACGCACCAAAAAAATGCAAACCCAGTGCCTTTTTTTTTTATGCTTTTTTTTTTTTTTTTTTTTTTTTGAAAAAAACCACAGCAAAGATGCTGCATGCAGGCCCTTTCACACCACTGTGCTGCAGGTGCAGTGCATTCTAAAGAGTCCCATAAGATTTAAAGGGAAACTTTTTTTTTTCTTGCAAGGTAAAAAAGCAGGAAAAACACATCACTATCGCTTATTATTGCTTATTTTCAAGCAAAGGGGTTACCTTTCTATTCTGAGTTTATGAGAGGTATATTGTCTAAAATATCATCATTTGCAGTTTTTTGGTTAAATCCTTGGATAACTTTTTTTTTTTGTAGGCGGTTCACGGATCTTGCAAGTTCCTTCACTTCTTCACTCGAAGGAAAAGATTCTTGGCAGCCAGCTTAATCAACTTTACCACTCAACATGCATCCATGCGCCTTCTCTGGGTACTTCAGAATATTCCAGAGGTAAGTAGAAGATACCTGCACAAGTCTATGCTAGAGTTCGGTGGCTTTTGTCTAGTTTTGTTCAAATACATTGGGAGACGCTGAGCCATAATTTTGTGTTAAAAAAACAATCACACAAATATATCTTTTTTTTTTTTTTTTTAGCCGTAAAATGTTTTTAGCATCGAAATAAGCTAGGCAACTGTGCAATACTGCCAATATTCAGACACAGCCGGTGCTCATGTAGCCCACTGTATTATCGTTGGCTTAAAATACAGGCCATTTTTAAAGCATTGTGTCCCACATATAATAGTATCTAGATGTACACTAAAAGATGGAATTAAGTGTAAGCCAGCTCCGTTTGAGAGCCAGTGATTGCCACTGTTCTCTTTCCCATGTGTACTCATTTAAAGCTGAACTCTGGGAAGATATAAAAAAGACATAAATTAATATTAATACTTAACCTCCTTGGCGGTATTCCCGAGTGTAGCTCGGGGTAACATTTCAGTACCAAAAGCGGTAACCCCGAGCTACACTCGGGAATACCATGCGGCGCTGCTCCGGCATGTGTTCTTCACTTACCTTACCCTGCGCTCCCGCGATGTGTCCCCTGCAGCGTCCCCGTCCATCTCCTCCGGCCGATGCCGGCATCCGGCTTCTGTGTCCTGTCCCTGTGACGTCGGGACGTACGGGCGCTGCCGCCGCCGCCGGCGGCGGGAAATTTAAAAATTTTAAAAAATGTCATTTTTTTTTTTTTTCATTTTACACAGTAAAACATTGCTGTTTCAACCTATTTCACATACATATTGTCCCTAGTGTTTTGTCCTGCGCCCTGCCTGCATTTTGTCTGTTCTTTCTGCCTGGAAACTGAGAAATGTCCATGGCGTCCAAAAAGTGTCCCTTTAGGTCAAAAGCGGTTTAGATCAGCTAGAGAACAGCGATAGTCAATCAGAACCACTTACAGAATTGAGTGATAATGATTCGTGGGGGAAATTCGTCATCAGAAACTGAAAACGATTTTGCGACTGAGCTCAGCAATGTGCGAACTTGGCGCTCTATTTCACATTTCAGTGTTTTTGGTTTGATTATATTATTGAATTAAATTTTTTATTATTTTTATATTATTTTTATGATTATTTATTAAATTATAATTTATGATTTTGTGTTTCAAATTTTATCATACCCGGGATGTTTACTAGACTCTTGTTCGGACAGATTTCAGTGAGTTTTTCCTAAAAATTACAGCCTACAATAAAAAAAATACATATTTCCATGCAAAAAAATGGTACAGCTTTCAGCACCAAAAATCTGAAATAATCATACCGCCAGGGAGGTTAATACTTTATTAAAGGTTTCAATTGCAAGCCGTGTTAGTACCTGAATTTGACCTGGCATCAGCCTCTTCTTGTACTCCCTGTATAGCAGGGCAGTAGAGGAAGAAGCTCTACAGGTAGCGCACCTGTTCATGTGCTGACAAGAAGCATGCTGAGAAAGCAGAGTGACATTGAGATGCTCACCACTGTGCCACTTCTCTTTTCACTCTCCAGTCCCATGCTGGGAGGGTTCTGGATGACCTGGACACAGAGAAAATGCGTTGAATGGTGATAGTCATGCATTCAGCATAAATACTGGCCATCACACTGAGGACATCTGGTGGCAGAAAAATAGTATGGTGGGGTACATCTTTGGATTAAAAGTAATTATTATATTCTTCACCTTTTAACCGCCTCCCGCCCGCCAGTTAAGGAAATGACGGTCGGGCGGTGGTTCTCTCGTTCTGGGAGGACCTCATATGATGTCCTCCCACTGTAACCGCGCGTGCACACCCCCCAGGGTGGCGCAGCACAGTGATCGGTGGTGCTCTGTGTCCCTGGGACTCAGCGGATCACCGATCAGTGGAAAAAGTCGATGACTTCGGCTCTGTCATGTGATCAGCTGTGTCCAATCACAGCTGATCGCATATAAATAAGGAAATGCCGGTTATCGGCATTCCTCTCCTCACGAGCTGTCATGCTGACAGCTCGTGAGGAGAGGAGAGCCGATATTTGGCATTCCTCAGAGGGGACATGTACACTGATCATCAGGGCCTACCAGTGCACATCAATGCCACATATCAGTGCCCATCTGAGCTGCCTTTCAGTGCCAAATGTCAGTGCCGCCTATCAGTTCCATATATGAGTACTGCCTTTCAGTGCCCATCAGTGATGCCTGTCAATGCTCATCAGAGCCCATCACTGCAACCTCATTAGCACACATCAGTGAAGGAGAAAAATTACTCCTTTACAAAATTTTATAACAGAAACTAAAAAAAAAAAATGTTTGTTTTTTTCAAAACTTTTTGTTTTTGGTTTGTTTAGCAAAAAATAAAAAAAACTAAGATGATTAAATACCACCAAAAAAAAGCTCTGTATGTCTCAAAACAATTATAAAAATGTCATATGGGTACAGTGTTGCATGACCGCGCAATTGACATTCAAAGTGCAACAGCGCTGAAAGCTGAAAATTTTGCCTGGGCAGGAAGGAGGTGAAAGTGCCTGGTAGACAAGTATTTATTTATTATTTATTTCAGGTACTTGTATAGCGCCGTCAATTTACGCAGCGCTTAACATATATATTGTACATTCACATCAGTCCCTAACCCTCAAGGGGTGTACAATGTAAGGTTCCTCACATTCATGCATACACATCCTACACTGTGTTCCACATTATTATGCAAATGATATTTTTTCATTTACCTAAATAATTGATGTAAATAACAGTCAGCATAATTCTCATGTTACAACCTATTAAGAGTACAATTCACATTTTATTGAACAAACCTCCTAATAACAGTATTTTTTTTAAACATAAAAATCTTACAATGCACTGTTCCAAATTATTACGCACAGTAAATTTCAAAACACTTTATAGGTTGTAAAGAACTGAAAATTGTCATTTGTTGTGTTTGCAGCATATTTACTGAAATCAAAAGCTATTTCAATCAAACTTTTAACAACATTTAAACTTTTTAAACATTTTAACAGGTCACATTACATTGTAACATAGGACCCCTTATTTGATAGCAGCTTCACAAGTCTTGCATCCATTGAACTTGTGAGTTTTTGGACAGTTTCTGCTTGAATATGTTTGCAAGATGTGAGAATAGCCTCCCAGAGCTGCTGTTTGGATGTAAACTGCCTCCCAACCTCATAGATCTTTTGCTTGAGGATGCTCCAAAGGTTCTCAATAGGATTGAGGTCAGGGGAGGATGGAGGCCACACCATGACTCTCTCCTTTTTATCCCCATAGCAGCCATTGATGCAGAGGTATTCTTTGCAGCATGAGATGGTGCATTGTCATGCATGAAGATGATTTTATTACGGAAAGCATAGTTCTTCCTTCTGAACCAAGTTTGCTGCTATGTAATGGTATTTTAGCAGCTGCTCTCTTGATCCGATGCATGGATCTGGCAGAAATCTTCCTCAATGTGCTTTTATCTGCATGAACCCGTCTGTGCTCTGAATCAGCCATAAATCTCTTAATAGTGCGATGATCACGCTTAAGTTTTTTCGTTAAATATCTAATGTTTTCATACCTCGCCCAAGGCATTGAACTATTTCACTCTTTTCGGCAGCAGAGAGATCCTTTTTCTTCCCCATATTGCTTGAAAATGGTGCTCTGCTTAATAATGTGATACACCCTCCTTTAGTAGTTTTTCCTTAAATTGGGCTCACCTGCCAATCTAATTATCACAGGTGTCCGAGATTGTTTTCAGTGATCAAAAGAGCCCTGACACACAATGCCATCCATGAGTTACACTAAAAAACAAAATATTTCATCTTTGTGACACTTAAATAGAATTTGCATAATAATTTGGAACAGGGTGTAGGGCCAATTTAGACAGGATCCAATTAACCTAACAGCATGTCTTTGGAGTGTGGGCGGAAACCGGAGTACCCGGAGGAAACCCACGCAGACACAGGGAGAACATGCAAACTCCAGGCAGGTGGTCACATGGTTGGGATTCTAACCAACGACCCTAGTACTGCCAGGCAGAAGTGCCTAACCATTTAGCCACTGTACTGCCCATAGTAGTTAATCTAAAGATTTCCCTGGCCATTCATTTTATATATTATTTGTGGCTGACATTCTACTCTGTTTGAAAATATTTAATTCAGGAACATGTCAATCAGATATATAATATGCATAAAATACAGTATAATGTGCTGTTTTACATAAGACATACTTTCTCCAGTTTGGTTGGCACGGAAGTGTGTTAGTGGAAATAAATGTGACCCAGCATGCTGACAAAGGAGAGCGGAAGGTGTTATTGAATGTTGCATCCAGTGTCACACCATAAATAGAGAATTATCACAGAAGAGGTCTGCATAGAGAATTAGAACTGCACCTTCATATCAACCGCCTGAAGTTCTATAATAAAAGTGCCTAATAAGCGTGCACACAACTGCTTTAGGTATATGAATGCTCCGAGGAGGGTTTCTTCCCTGTGTGCATTCCGAGGCTAGTTTTTGAACTTGTCTGGAGTGAACCTGTGTATTTACATGCTGATGCCTACTATGTAATTACGTCCTGCCATTTTTTTTTAAAAATAAGAGCTCTTATATACCTACATTCCTAATCATTTAAACTTCGTACATAGGGGTGGATTTACTAAAGGCAAATAGACAACACTTGCACTTATTTTCCCTAGAGCGAAGTAAATGTTGTAAAGCTATGCTGATTTCCATCATCCAATCATGTGCAAGCAAAAATGCTTTTTTTTTTTTTTTTTTTTTTTAACTTTCCTTTTCCCTGATTGGGTGTTCTTTACAAAGTGAAGCTTTCCTACATTTACAGGGGTTAGACAAAAAAAAAAGTGAGACGCTACATGATTTGCAAGTTTGAAAGTGACAATATGTTTTGTGTTGAAAGGGGAAGTGATGTAACACTCTTTTGCTTCTGCTGTGTGATGAGACAGCTAGCTAACAGGTGGGAAGTCTCACTTTTGTCATTTACTGCATGTGCTTCTAGTAATGTGGTGTCATGTCGGAGATTACTGAGCTTCAAAGAGGGAAAATTGTTTGTGTCCCCTTAGCTGGTGCCTCTGTGAATGCAGTTGCCAATTTATTTGTGATGTCCTGAAGTACAGTATCCAAGGTTATGATGGCATATACAGTTTCTGGGAAAACGTCGTATGAGCAGCATAAGCGCAGTCGACATGGTCAACTACCGAAAAAGATAAAATGACATTCCGCAGGATTGGAGGACCCCCTGGTCACCAGGACTAGTGTCCCTATTGGAAGATTTCCCCTCTTTGACTTTTCTGGGGACAACCCAAAATTTGGGCTATTCTTTTACTTTCTCTTTCAGGACAAATAGAAGGTGCGGATCACAGACAGGTTTTTATTGCTAACAGGTGTTCTAATCCATCTCCACTCTGTGCAAAACTAAATAAAAAAAGTTTTGTCTTTAGTTATACTTTAAATCTGGCTCAACTGCTTGATCTATTTTTAAAGTCTTGGCTCAATAGTTCAATCTATTTTTAGAACATTGGTTCAACTGTTTGATCTATTTTTAGATCTTGGGCTGAGCAGCATGATCAATTTGAAATCCTTGGCTCAACCGTTCAATCTATTTTTAGATCTTGGGATCAACTGTTTTGAGTTATTTTAAATCCTGGCCCAACTATTTAAATATTTTTTTAGATTCTGGTCTCAACTGTCCGCTAGATCTTGGGCTTAGTTGTTTAAAGGGACATTAACCTAAAACTAAGGGGCACTGCCACAAATGTTTTTTTTTTTGGTCTGTTTCTTTTGGCTACATTTTACCATGGATGGATCAGAGGAGTTTCATATTAGTTGATTCCAGTCTTAAAAAGCCAAGCTATTGTTTGAGAAATGGGCACTTCCTGAATCTGGAAGTAGGCTTCCAAAACCGGAAGTGACCTTTTTAACACTTTCTTTTTTTTTTCCATTTTAAAGCAGAACTATACTCACCTTTTATCCAGTACCATGGTGTCCTAGAGCTCCCCACCAGCCACCGTGGTGTTTGGCCGGATCAGCTGTCGGGTACCAATGCTTGTTCATTTTAATTGGCCTGTCCAAGATGATGTCACTCATTCATTCATATCAGCATTACCGAAATTTGCTTGCACAGCTCAGTGTACAGGGCCTACAGGCAGGTAATGGAACTTTAGTACAGGAGAGACTTCAGGTTGAATCACTAAGGCAGACTAACTGTGCACTTTGTAAGCACAGTTGCTCCAGAGTTTAGTAAATGAGGTGAAGCTTCACTTTGTAAGGAATGCCCAATCACATGCAAGGAAAATAAAACAAACAGCGTTTTTGCTTGCACATGATTGGATGATGGAAGTCATCAGTGCTTCCCTTATTTACTAAGCTCTGGAGCAATTGCACTTGCAAAGTTCAGTCTATTTGTCTTTTGCAAATCGGCCCCAGTGTGTAACCTGTGTCTGATCACGCCATCGTTGAAGTGCATACAGTGGCTTACACTGTGATTCATTTTTCTGTACTGGTTGGAATACTAATAAAGCTTCTGCACCTGTTATGCCTGCAGTGTTCTATCAACTGTACCTGACGTAAAATGTTGTCCATGGTAAGCTTCTGTTATTCTCTTTGATGCAATTCTATATTTTAGGTCCTTATCTCACAGAAGCATAGTGAATGGATGTCAGAGAGATCTCCAGGCACATGGGGATCCCAGAATTCTGATTAAAAAAAAAAAAAAAACCAAAACTAGGCAGTTTAATATATTTTAGTATATTTTTCTTTTTAAATCTGTCCTCTTTTTAGTGAAGTTGACTTTATCTTCCTCCACCCATTCAATGCATGTCACATACTTAAAGCCTTCCCAAAATGAAGAGCCAGTCATGTCCAACTCATACTGCATGTGCATTCATTCCTATAACTGGGTGTATACTCCCCTGGATGTCAGCTGTAGGAATGGAAGAGGTCAGAGGTGCACATGTTCAATAAGAGCTGTACCAAGCTGAGTCTTTTTATTCAAAGGCTGGCGAGACCACTTGGTGACAACGTCAGGCTCCGGGTTGAGTATAAGTATTTAGTTATGTGATTGTTGCCCTTTATATATGTATAAGTAATCCTTTTTGTTTTCCTAGTCATTACTTTGAAAGCACATATCTTAATGTGAAACTATATAAAAGGGCAGACCTAACTTTCTGTTTTCTGTTTTCCTTGCAGGTACAGCAAGCAGCAGATGAAGGGAACTGTTGTTTCGGGACCATTGATACATGGCTGCTGTATAAACTCACAGATGGTGAGTAGTGTTTATATCAAGGTTGTGAGCAGCCCTGTCTAGTCCGTGGAATAATGTTCATGCCCTGCCATTACAAACTTTTCTTTTTTACTTATTGTGACAGAGGCAGGGTTTGATACCTCACTGGGACTTTGTTTTCCATAACCCTTGAATGGGGGTCCTCTTCCCCTGCACACACCCCCCCCCCCCTTCCCTTTTCCCCATCGAAGTCCTGCACTGTCAGCCAAGGCTTTGCTGTGGGCTGAACTTCTGGCTTAATCTCTGTTGTGTAAATACTTCATAAACTGCATTCCTATAGAGCAGGGGTTTTGAATTAAAATTTACGGAGGTCTGGTCAGCAAAATTTCCTTCCAGCAGAGGTCCGAATCTCGTTAGCAATATAACACATCACATTCCCCCAGTACATTATCATCTTTAGCGTACCTTTCACACTGTAGTGCCCCTTAACACAACACAGTGCCCCTAACATAACACAGTGCCCCTTTTTTAATGCAAGCCTTCCCCTGCATAGTCCTATGGTACCTTAGGTAGAGCAGAGGCACTAATCTTTCTGGGGTGTTCTCTCCTGGGCCTCCAGCCCTCCACCGATGTCATCCTCATAGTGGGTGGGGGTGGGAAAAGCTGCAAATCGAGACTGAGGGGCGGGAGCTGCCCAAGTTATTATGTTAACAAGTGGGCGATTGCCTGGCTTGCTGATATGAAAAGAATCCCACTTTCTGTCTCGAGCTGCAGAGAGCGGAAGTCTTTACATATTAACAAGCTGGGTAATCACCAGCTTCCGCCACTCAGTCCCGATCTGCAGCTACTCACACCCCGCCCACTGTGAGGATGACATCTGCGGCTGAGTGAGAGGCCTGGAAGAGGACACCCAGCCGTGGCAGTGGCATGGCTGCGGTCTGGACAGGACTGTCCCTCGTTCCGGACCGCGGTCTACCATATAGTGACTACTGCTATAGAGAATCCACCATGGACCAGTGTCACTAAAATGCTGATGTTCTGTTTTTGTGGATTCTACATAGGAATGGAAGGATGATGGCTGCCATCACTGAAAGTATTTTAGATAGAAAGAGAATATATTCACCACAGTTAAGGATAGCAGTAGAGACTTTTTTTTCAGGTTAAAGGGCCCCCTTTATCTTAGGTCTTTGTTAGAGGTATGGAAATAGTCAAGAGCAGCCACTCAGAAATTGACTGAAGGGCACATATGATTTGGTTGCTACAGGATGCAGCATTTTCTGTATGCACTATTATGATAAATATGTCCCTAATATGTGAAATCACATTTGTTTTTTTAGGCCAGAATTTTAACCCCATGTGATAAGTGACATTCATGCAGATGTCATTTCTCACAGTGGTAATAGAAGGAGGAGTCCAAATACCAGTGTTTTTGCAGGCTTTTGCTCAAGTTTTTATATATCAAAACACCATACTGATATGCTCATTTTAGAAATTTAGGATTTTTTATTACTAAATATTTGGGGCATGAGCTATGTCTTTTCTACGCTGATTAGGGTCCGTTCGCACTTGTCCATTTTTGGCAAATGCATTGTTTTTTAAATAAATGAGAACACATCAACATATGCCAGTTTGCAAGATAATTTACATTGTAATGCACATTAACGTGCATTTTGAACTCCCTCTCTCCCTTGCTGTCCCTCCCTCCCATTGAACTGAATGAGGCTGCTCTATAACTGAAAACCAAATGCTTGGCTCACAGTTGTGGCACGGTCCTGCAATGTAATATTGCCATTTGGCAAATAAAAAAAAAAAAATTAAGTAGGATTTTTTTTTTTTTTAATTACACTAAAACAGAGATAAAATGTGCCTAAAGGCTGTCATATACGGCTCAAATTTCACTGATTCAATGACTTTCGGCACCACCTGGCTCAACCAAATTTAATTGGAAAATTGACAGAGGGGACAACGTCTCCAATCAGATGCATTGACTGTTCGGGTATTCTGAAAACATTCTATCAGAATATAATAGCAGACAGGTGAGCTTCCCCCGTTAGCACATTTTAGCATGGATGGGGGGGAATGTGCTTGATTTCTTAAATCTTTAAAGCTGGCCATTGATGACTGATCTGATTAACCGGTTCCTCGTCGCCCTATAGCAGAAATACTGCTACAAGGCTGCACAGGTGCGCAAAATCGTGTGTGTATATGTATGTGTGATTTTGCAGTTCTGGGTAGGGGGGCGTGCATGCCTTACCCGCACCGCCATTTGCGGCCTCGGCTGTCAATCACCGGGTCCCAGCCGGTGATTACTCGCCGGCACCCAGTGATCGCCAAGTATCTCCGACAGGAGGGAGACCTGTGTATAAACAACACAGATCTCCCCGTGTCAGCTCTTGCACACTGCTTTGTATGGCTCTTACATAGCACATCCATACAAAGCTGTGTGCTTACAGTGAAGTACACACACAGCCAACATAGTGAAGCAGCACACATTTAACCCTTTGATCGCCCCAGATGTTAACCCTTTGATCGCCCCAGATGTTAACCCCTTCCTGCTCAGTGGCATTAGTACAGTGTCGGTGCTTTTTATTAGCACTGATCACTGTATTGGTGTAACTGGGGATGTCAGTGACACCAAGTCCATTCCCCCCCAGTGTCAGAATGCCCGCCGCAGTCCCGCTATAAGTCGCTGATCGCCGCCATTACTAGTAAAACAACAAAAAAAAAAGACACGTAACAGAATACATTTTGGCCTAAATTTCATGACAAAATTTTTTGATTTTTTTTTTTAATTTACTGGACATGTTTAATAGCAAAAAGTAAAAAATACTGGGGTTTTTTTTGGTTGTTTGTTTTTTTTTTACCCTCAAAATTGTTGGTCTTTTTTTGTTTATAGCACAATAAAAAAAAACACACAGGCGATCAAATACCACCGAATGAAAGCTCTATTTGTGGGGAAAAAAGGACATAAATTTAATTTGGGTGCAACGTTGCATGACTGCGCAATTGTCAGTTAAAAGTAACGCAGTGCCGTAACACAAAAAAATGGCCTGGTCAGGAAGGGGAGTAAATGCTCTGGAGGGCAAGTGGTTAGAAAGACTGAATGGATTGCCCCATCTACATACTTGAGGTGGATGAAGAAATCCTCCCTTCTGAGTTATTATATTCTGATAGTGGGACCCCTCCTCTGTCTGAATACACTGATCAGCCCCGCATGCACTGAACAAGCGAAAATTTACCAACAGTCCCGTTGAAGAGGAGTCAGTTATTAGATCAACTTCCTCTTGAACAAGAATTACCATAGATTAATCAAAATTTGGTCAGTCCCTGGTGAACTGGCCACATTTCTATCTATCTATGGTCCGCTTAAATGTATGCCTTGCCTGAAGCTCACCATACAAATTGCAATGTAATTGTACAATCTCCTTTTTAGATCTACCAACAACTATGTACTACAAGGGCCTGTCTGACTGTTGAACACAAATTGATTGGACAGATTAGAAAGGTCCTTGTACGACATCGTTTTGGTAAATCCTAAACTGTACAAAAATTGTACGGTCAGATTTTATAACGTGTATGGTGAGCCTAAGTGTGTGTATGTAACCCCTAATAACATTCTAATGATGAAAGATGATTATGCCAATAATTGCACCAACATTTTATTACTTCAAAATACACAGTGCTGTAAAATGTGCAAAAAAACCCCCCCTCTGCATTAAAGAGTACCTCCACTTTTGTTGAGAAAAAAATACACCCCCCCCCCCCCCCCAAGTGATCTATGTACATTGCAACAATTTTAACACACTTTGTTGCAGAGTCCTACCTTTTGGTATTCTGAAGAAAGAGCTGTTTGTTTGTCTGTGTCCATGTGCAGAGTGAATATGTATGGGAGTGCCTTTCTAATTATCAATCAGCTGTTGCACCTGCAGGGCTCTGATGAGAAAAGCTGCAAGGTCGGCATCCCTTTACACAAACTTTCCCTTTTGGAAGTATCTCACCGAAAATGACATTTTTGTTGCAGGGGATGCCTGAAATTTGATTTGTATCTTAGTGCAGACTTCTGGGAAGATCAGTGAATCAATCACTCAAGCAGGGAGTGATGTTTCTTGGGGGGCACTTTGTACACCATCTGTGTGCAGAACACCTCCAGGTAGCCATACATTTTACAGAAAATGACTGCACTGGAGATTGAAAAGGAAAGGTCATTTTTAATAACATTTAACTACAATATGACTTTGCAATTGTATAGGCTATATTATTATTTTTTTTATTTGCTATTTTTTTTCCCCCGTGAAAGTGGAGTTGCCCTTTAAAACTACTGTGTGAAAACGAATCATCCTGAGTAATGTATGCAGCATCTGTACAATAGCCTTTATGAGATGTTGTGGGTATGACTGTCATACAGAGGATAGGTGAAATGACCCAGCTGAAACACTGAATTAGAGTTTTTATACTCCTGCTATTTATTTCTGAAAGAGTTTCTTTACATCCGAAATGTAAGCTTTTGCAAGTACTGTATATAAAGCAAGGGAAAAAAACCTGTGGCCCTCTATAAAACAGAAATCCACTTTTTGTTTTTTTTCTTTTGTTTAATGCATTTGTTTTTAATTTTTTTTGCATTAAATATTCATAATGAGCGTCATCTGGCTGTTGAACTTGTCCAGATGGTAGAGATGCTTGTGCTAACCCCTGCTGAGTTCTTTTCTGGAAATGCTGGAAGGGCACAGATAATGAATCATTGGAGATGCAGCACACATCACATTCATTAATATCCAAACCAAGACAAATAGCCCACGAAGAAAAAAATGATAGCAGCCTCTCCCTGTACGAAGGGTCACTTTACCATCTGTCCATGTGCATGGTGTTCCGGCCCATTCAGCCTTTGTGTAATGTTGTGGAACAGATTGGGCACCACGTGTGGGGAGAAACAGCTGTCTTCTTTCTTCACATTACAGTAGAATCTCTGTCTTGTCTTCTTGTTTAGAATCATCTGGATGTTAAACAGGAGCATTCAGTGCTTGATTCCTCAAATAAGGCATAGG